CATCTCCTATCAATAAACTAACATCTACCGACCCGATAATCAAAAGTTCTAATCAACACAGATATAAATCGGTGGTGAGATATTTGATGGTTCCCAACCACCGTGAATTGAGCTAGCTCAGCCATGAAATCAAAACCTTTTAATTTTTCATCTTTTGATTGTTTTTAAGTTCACAATTGAAGATTACATTGTAGATCCATCATAGTTGGGTAAAAATTCATACAAAAACAAGCGAATCCGACAATAATTGTTAAAATAAAATAAAAGGTGGCTGGAAATTTGGGTAGAATGTTGCATAGACAAAGAATAAGATGATGGCGAAATGGTAATTCCTGATTATTTCAAGTAAAAATAATGTTACTATGGACAGGTTACAGTGGACAGGTTGTTGTGGACGGTGTGCCTCTGTGGACATGTTGTGGATAACTATCCTTCTAAGTGTGAGGTTGATATGTGAGGTTGCCGTGGATATGTTCTTGTGGACAGATGTGTTTGTATGGATGAAATTATATTGACTGATCTGGGTTTTCTGGGTTGTTGCCAGAGTTAGTCGACAGCAAGACAAACTAAGTTCAAAATTGAAGATTAGATTGTAGATCTATCATAGTTGGGTAAAAAATCATACAAAAACAAGCGAATCCGACAATAATTGTGAAAATAAAATAAAAAGTGGCTGGAACCTAGGTTGGAATATTGCAAAACCAAAGAAGAAGATGAAGGTAAAATTGTAACGTATGATCACTTAAGCAAAAAATCAGGTTACTATGGACAGGTTGCCGTGGACAGGTTGCTATGGACATGTGTCTCAGGACAGATTGTTGTGGATAATGTGTCTATGTAGATATGTTGTAGATAAATGTCCTTCTTGTAAGTGTGAGTTTGATATGCGAGGTTGCCATGGACATGTTTCTATGGACAAATGAGTTGGTATGGATGAAATTATATTGAATCATTGATGATGTTAATCCGCGAAATTATGATAATCATATTAGTAGCCCGATTTTAGGCACTTGTGGGTGTTGCAAGTACAAATTGTGTGATCAACGATGTTTGGTCAATGTTACGTGGTTAATCGGAAACTAAACTAAAATCATAAATAGTGGATGGGTGAATGAAAATGTTTGAAGCTTATGAATGATTGATTGTGGATAACATTGTTTTTTAGATTCAACATAATTTCATCCATACAAACCCATCTACAATTTAAAATCTACGTGTACCAAAGATCATAGAAATTTGTGGTAATAAAAGTAATTATCTAAATTTGTTACATATATGTATTACATTATAGGCACTTTGTCCATAACACTTTGTCCATGGTAACCTGTCCATAAACACGTGTCCATAATAACTAGTCCACAACAGCCTTGCATTATAGGTAATCTATCCACATCAATTTGTCAACAGTGACATATCAATCTGTCCAGAGAAACATGTCCACGACAACCTCACATATCAACCTCACACTTAAAAGAAGAACATTTATCCACAACATGTCCACATATACACTATGTCCATGATAATCTGTCCATAGTAACCTGTCCACAGCAACTTGTCTACAACAGCCTGATTTTTCACTCGAATGGATCACAAATTACAATTTTGCCCTCGTCTTCTTCTTTAGCTCTGCAACATTCCAACCTAGTTTTCAGCCGCCTTTCATTTAATTTTCATAATTATTGTTAGATTCACTTGTTTTTGTATGATTTTTTATTTAACATGATAGATCTACAATCTAATAATTGATTTCGAATTTCCTGCCGTCAGCTAACTCCGACAACAACTCGGAAAACCCATATTTGCATTGTCAATGTCCAGATCTGAACAAAGTTTTGATTTATTTAATTTTACATTGATTTTTTTATAAAAACTTTTGCAAGCTAGAGCATTACACACCCTCCTATGTAGACATTATCTTTTAAATACACACCCTCCTTAAACAGAGGCAAAGATCTGTAATTACTGTAGCGATGATAAAACTTGAAAGTGTATTTTACATTGTTTTTTGTCATTGTTTGGCAAGGGTACTATAGGTAGTTCAGATCTAAATAAAACTCAAAAGTGCCTTAAAAGCAAAAAAGTGCCTATTTTGTAAATAAAAGTGGTAAAAAGGTCTTATAGTATAAATAACTCCACAATGTTACTATCTCAAAGAACAATCAACATAACAGGCTGATGAAAATCGCACTGACACTTAAAAGAAGAACATGTATCCACAACATGTCCACATATACACTATGTCCATGACAATCTGTCCATAGTAACCTGTCCACAGCAACTTGTCTACAACAGCCTGATTTTTCACTCGAATGGATCACAAATTACAATTTTGCCCTCGTCTTCTTCTTTAGCTCTGCAACATTCCAACCTAGTTTTCAGCCGCCTTTCATTTAATTTTCATAATTATTGTTAGATTCACTTGTTTTTGTATGATTTTTTATTTAACATGATAGATCTACAATCTAATAATTGATTTCGAATTTCCTGCTGTTAGCTAACTCCGACAACAACTCGGAAAACCCATATTTGCATTGTCAATGTCCAGATCTGAACAAAGTTTTGATTTATTTAATTTTACGTTGATTTTTTTATAAAAACTTTTGCAAGCTAGAGCATTACACACCCTCCTATGTAGACATTATCTTTTAAATACACACCCTCCTTAAACAGAGGCAAAGATCTGTAATTACTGTAGCGATGATAAAACTTGAAAGTGTTTTTTACATTGTTTTTTGTCATTGTGGGTACTATAGGTAGTTCAGATCTAAATAAAACTCAAAAGTGCCTTAAAAGCAAAAAAATGCCTATTTTGTAAATAAAAATGGTAAAAATGTCTTATAGTATAAATAACTCCACAATGTTACTACCTCAAAGAACAATCAACATAACAGGCTGATGAAAATCGCACTGACATTATTATTAAATGGAGACTAAAATTATGTTATTTTGATATTATTAGATGCACTTGGTATATTCAAGATTAAAATATGGGTTTAGATTTATATATACCCAATGGATCAAAAATTAGGTAACTATAGTAAAGGAAAAATAAATTAAACTAAAAAAAAAACCTTTTTCTATTTTATGTAATTACAAAAATTTCATTAATCTAAAAAATCTGTTTATAGTATAAAATTAGTTAAAAATAGTAGAAGGAAACAAATTTTAAACTAAAAAAACTTTTTTCTATTTTACGTAATTACTAAAAATGTTATTAATCTAAAAATTCTGTTGACAGTATAAAATTTTGACATTATTGTTCACTTTTGACAACACTATTCACATCTCACAACATTGTTCACATCTAACTGAAAATACTGTTTATAAATAAAACTGTTATTCTGAAAATAACGAATTAATACAGTTGACATATCGTAGAAATAGGATGATAAACCAATTATAATATTAAATTTTTAAGCCATCTACGTTGATTTGTCATATTATCTGAGTCCAAAACTCTTTATTTACATATTGTAAACTAAATGTTAAACCAGTTATCCATCATACATATTAAACCAATTATCCATGTAAAATACATATTAAATCAGGTATTAATATATATTATCGTATTAACCTAGTTCTATAAGAGAAATTATCAAATTTATTCAGCTATCATATTATTAACATATAAATTACTATTTAAATAACTATGTTAACTTAATAAATTTATATAAAATCAAATCAATAACCATTTAATGTCTTTATTATCAGTTGACTGTATCTCTTTTTTTTGTTATTTTTACCACCGTCATCATTAGCGTTGTTGACATCATGGTCATTACCGTCAGCATTACTATCAGCATCAAACATCAGTGTTACTATCACCATCATCGTCACTATTGTACATGTTATCATCACCACATCACTATCACAATGTTATCACCATCGCCATCATTATTACCACCTTCATCACTATTCCATGTATCGCCACCATCAACATCAATATTATCAAACATCATTATTTTATTACTTCTTTTATCTACCTCTTTTTTTTTCTTTTTTTTCTACTTTTAATTTCTTCATCAGAAATATCAAAAATAGAGAAAAATATCATATGTATAATTATTTATAAAAAATAAGAATATAATAGACTTTGACAAATTTACAGAATAAAAGAGAAAATAACAGCATAAAAAAAGTTAAATTGATATTTACTAATTTATCCTGTGATATTTCTCTTCAAAATATATAATATTTTCGTTTGGCAAATCGTGAAGCATAGGAGGACACTGGTTTATCAAAAAATCATATCAAAATGATAAAAATCTCTTTAGAGCTATCTTTTATTTTGCAACTGAAATATAACATAATTGTTAGTGAGGTCATTAGCATTTTAAGTTGATTAGAAGTTAAGCTCTAAAATTTAGATAAGATGTAAATGTATAACTCTTAGCCGTTAGGATACCTGATAAAATGGTGTGATTCCAAAAGGACAAGTGTAAATATCTGAGAGCATGTATGTAAAACTTATGATTATTCCAAAAATATAAAACTGCAGGCAGAGAGATCGGAGATACCAAGGAGGCATGGAGCTTTGGTTCTCATTTACATAATCAACAAACTGGTTTTTAAAACTAGTTAGTTTCTTTCTGCTCAAGTTTGACATTTTGATGCACTCATTGTAAAAAAGACTTTAGATTGGATTAATTTAACACTTTTATTCAAAAAATGAAATAAAAATGTAAAACTGTTTGTAAAAAGTAGCTCATCCTAATTCTCTTTTTCTATATTTTCGTCTCCCAGAATTAAAATGAATGATTATTATTTTAAAAGAAAACAAAGAAAATTATTATTTGCTAGATAGCCAAAAGTTTTAAAAAAGCTCAGTGCAATGAAAAGCTATAAACCTCGCTGTAATCGAATTGCTAAAAGCAAGAGCAAGAACAAAGGACAACTTACTAAAATTGTTAAAACAATAAGTTTCATACAAACAAGGAACATAGGAAAACAGAATATAACTAAAACACACATTTTCGCTTCTATTGGAACTGTATCAATACCTAAGCAGCATCAGATACACTTCGAATATTGGAGAATCTAGCAACCACATTTTCCTCCAGTATTTCTAAGGCCTTTTCAGATGTGATGCATGTGGGCGTCTTGTATTGAGCAACCGAAGCACCCTTTGAGATTGCCAAGTCCATAAGAGAGTCAAATGTCCCGTCATTCACTACTCTTATCTCGAGAGGCCCGACAAATTCGTTTGACCGACAATACTTGTATTCATCGTCAAGCGAATCCTCTATTACTAAACAACACTTCAAGAATGTCTCTTCATTGAGCTCGAGGTCCAATGTCTTGGTTTTTAGCCTTTACTTCCCAATAAATGACATAGTGACCCGGAGTAGTGGAGATATCAGCATAGCTGGAGAAATCTGCAAGCATTAGATCTGATGAGTCAAGAACCATTTTTGCTCGATTCAACGCCTTAAACAAGTATTCTTCATTTGTCTGGTCCATACCAATGCTTAACAACATGTTCTCTCTTCCTATCACTATAAGAATTTAGTGATATAGCTACCGATTATTTTGTAACTATAGGACACAATTTCTAGCTAAAACTAGGCAGGCAACGAAGAGCGACACATCAATTCCGTTGCCTCAGCTCCAACGCTATCCTTGTAGCTGATCTATAGCCAATTAGTGGCAGATTAGTAAGAACAATTTCTGTAGCCAATAGCAACCATGTGGCTACAACTTATTCTCTTGCCAATTAGTGACGACTTTAGCTACTAATTTTTGTGTCGCTATAGGCTACAAACTTTTAACAACAATCTCCTCTAGCAGTCTGTAGCCACATATATGGTAAAAAAGTATTTAATTTTCAATAATAAATCAAAATATCTTGAACAAAAAATTTATAAAGTAGATTATAACAAAGAACCTAAATCTTCAAAACGTAGTAAAAATCGTCACGTATCTATCATACAAGACAAACAAAAAATTTAAACCTGAAAAATGAGAACAAAACATAACAAAAGTTCAAGCTGAAAACTAAAGATTTCTATTGCAGATCCTGCAAGAAGTCGTCAAAGTGTGCTTCGAATCTTCAAAACTCGGTGAAATCCTCGTGATGATGTCCCCAACGATTTATGCAAACGCGCTGCTCCAACATCGTTGCAGCCCTGAAAATTAATCAAGAATTCAAAAGAAGTGAGTGGATCTTGAGTGAATCCAAACAGAAAATACAGGGCCTGAAATCTAAACAACACTCACATTGAGTATAACAGCAGTTTCCTGAGAACAAAAAACCATAAACATCACATAAGCAGTGCATTCTTGCTCACCTGACCTTATCTCATTCACAAAATAACAAAGACTTCATATTCTGAATCCAGTAAATTCAGAAAAATGTAATTTGGAATATGGAAGTAAGACTCACTTGAAAATGCGAGAAGATAACCAACCTATAAGTGACCATTTTGTCCCCTGCAGCATTGAACGAAAAAGCAAAAAAACGAGAAAGATAGATTATGAACCTCTTCAAACACTTGCAATTCTCCAATTTTGCAGGCAATAAACAACACAAAAGAAACCCAATTGTTATGTAATTCAAAACTGAACCAAAAGACACATGTTTATTGGAAATCTAATCTAACGACATAGAAGATGATGATATTTGATGAGATTAAAACTCAAGCGCTGAGCAAAAGAAACCTAGCCACAAATAAAGAATCTGCCGAAAAAAATAGATCAAAATTGGTACCTGAAACTAAGTTTAGAAACTTCTCTTCTTGAAATGAGATCTGAAATCAAAATTTAGAAACTCAAAATAAAATAAAATCCAAAAATTAAATAAAAATTAAACGGAAGATCTTGCTAGGGAACACCTTAAGTTTGGTGTATTTGTTGTAGAGCTTGACGTAGAAAGATTTCATCTGCAACTGAAGAATTAAGAGATTGATATAGACCCAAGGAAGAAGCAAAATCGAAGGAATCAGAAGACAAAAGAAATGTTTACAATTCGATCTGAACCATTCTCTCTTCTCGATTCAACGCCTTAAACAAGTATTCTTCATTTGTCCGGTCCGTATCAATGCTTAACAACATGTTTTCTCTTCCTATATATAAACCTAAACTGAGGTGCCTTGTTGTGGAATCCAGTCACTTTTACAATATCTCCAATTCTCATTCTATACAAACCCCATAGATTTGTGACCAATAATTGGTAAGAACACCCGAGTTTGACATCTGCCAGGTCCACAACAACACTGTTGTCTTCTTCCACTGGTATGAACTCAAAGTAAGATATGTTGGGCATGAGTGTGTAAGAGACCTCTTCAGGTTTACATAATGGATCGATATTAATACCGACAATTGACTCGGAAGAAGCGTAAGTTGTTGAAACAAGAGGCAGGTCATTGCAGTAATAGTTCAATGTAGGAACATATTGTACCATGGAACCTGCAACAGTAGCTTCAATGTATATGGTTTGTGGCCAAAGCATTTTCATTATACCTTTCCAAGACTTTTGGCTGATAATTCGGGACGTGGCTGACCTCCAAGAACCATAGAGACTGAGTTTCGACAACCAGAATCGGTGATCCACTCGCTTAGATGACCTGATCGGATATTCGAGCACAACTCCTTCCAATAGTCTTCAAGAACCTTGATTACTCGGACCATACCTGAAGCGGAATTGGAACCAATTCCCACGACCTCGTCTCTTTGGACAAGACCACATAGCAAATGGCAATAAAGATTTTGCTTGATGTCATTGCCTAACATAACTTCATCAGGACTCGTATAAGAGTAATACCAATTAGATGGTCGATTCTTGAAATAGCCGCTCTTTAAGTACCAGCTTGTTCCAGGCTCAACGGGCAAGCCACCAGGAGTTTTGGTCTCCAGGCTTGTTAAGAAAAACAGCATCCCCTTTCCTTTCTCCACATCTTTCACATGCCTAGATAAAACAAAAACAAACCATTTCTTTTAAAACATTTTTTTTTTATCATCAATAGGTATTTTGGCAATTTGTTTTCCCTAACCCTCACTCGGATTAATAATTGAACCAATAGTTACACCGATTACTCTAACTTTATTAAGAAGGTAGAATATAAACCTCGTAAAAATAAAAAAATATTACAAACAATAAAGACCAAATAAGATCATTCGTAAATAAAAAGAAAACATTAATGCGAAAGTAATAATTATGGGGATTCTTGCAAAAATGATCTAAAATTTGATTTGAATTGCAAATTTAACCTACAAAAATCACATTCCTAACATTTACCATTTTGTGTCTAAACAATCTTTCATAGTTTCAGTTATTCACGAAATTACCATTGTTTTTAATTAATTTCTTTTATTTTCAGAAATCCAAATAACCAACTAATCCTCATCTTCCTCACTTATTTACGAAAATGCTCAGAAAATAGACTTCTCTCGGTCCGAATGAAGTCTACTAGTCAACGCCCAGGTTAGTTTTGCAATTGACCACATGAAAAAGTAGACTTCTTTTGGTCCGAATGAAGTCTACTCCATTTCTTTTGATAACAAAAAAATAGAGTAGACTTCTCGAGTAGACTTCTTTAAAAGCAGGTCATTTTTGCAATTGACCAACCTTTGACTTTGTAGAGTAGACTTCTCCGAGAAGTCTACTTTCGTAAATAGACTTCTCGTAGGTCATTTTTCCAATTGAAAAAATATCTGACTTTTTGGTCAGTTGCAAAAATGACCTGCGAGAAGTCTAGTAGACTTCTCGAAGAAGTCTACTTTCGCAAGTAGACTTCTCGCAGGTCATTTTTGCAATTGACCAAAAAGTCAAATATTTTTCAATTGCAGCAATGACCTGCGAGAAGTCTACTTACGGAAGTAAACTTCTCAGAGAAGTCTACTTTCGTAAGTAGACTTCTCGCAGGTCATTTTTCCAATTGACCAAAAAGTCAAATATATTGCAATTGCAAAAATGACCTGCGAGAAGTCTACTTACGAAAGTAAACTTCTCGGAGAAGTCTACTTTTCATAGAGAAGTCTACTAATATTTTGGCAATTGCAAAACTAACTTGCGAGAAGTCTACTTTTATCCGAGAAGTCTACTTTCCTTGTTTTTTAAAAAAATCATTTTTATGCAATATTAGGCCTAATATTATGCAAAAACCCGGACCCGAAAACCCGAACCAGAACCGACCCGAAATAACCGGTTCGGATCGGGTTCGGTTATTATTATCAAATTAACTGACGGGTATTAAGTTTAAGAACTGTGGGTATCGGGTCGGTTCCGGTTCCTACCCGATACCCGATCAGTTAACCGAAATTATACACTTAGAGTTTGTAGAGCAATTTCCCGTTGAACCAGATGGACCCAGAGGTCGATCTACATACCGTTTCGTAGGTCTTGCAGTCATCTATTCAGAACTTCTTTTCGTTATCGATTCCGAAATATATTCAATCCGGAAATCAATTTACAAGTTGACAAAAAATTTCAGTATTTCTTGAAAATTTCAGTATTTATTCAGGTATTTGGTTACATTTCGGGTATATGGTTACTTTTTTACTGATTTTGGGTCTAATCGGGTATAAAAAACTAGAACCAAACCGAAATTATAAAAAAACCAATTTTTTCGGAAACTAAACGGTTCTAAAATTTAAGAACCGAACCGACCCAGAACTGACAGGAACCGAACCGAACCCGAATCGAAATCTCTTTGGTACCTATATGGGTATAAAATTCTCTTACCCGAAAGTACCGGAACCGATCGGATCCGACCCGGAACCGACCCGAATATCCGAATGCCAAGGCCTATGCAATATATAACGAATTTTTAAGATTTTTGTGATCCTAAGATTCTGTTATTAAGTTTTCTTGCTTATGTATAAGTTTTGCATGTTTATATTTTATAGGTATAGTCGAATGAGTTTTCATGTTTTATATGATACTTAGCTTATTAAGAGTAGACTTCTTAGTCTACTCTAGAAGTCTACTATGTAGACTTCATCCGACTTTTAGAGAAGTCTACTTATGCAATTTTTATGTCTGATGTGGTTTGGATTTTGTTCTTTTTTCACAGAGAATGGCTCACATACCCGCTGTTTATGGAGAATGGGTTAAGAGTGAATCAGTGTGGCAGTTCGAGGTGGGTAATAGCAAAGGAGGACGAATGTTGTTCTTAAGAGATGGTTGCACACATGGTGTGCTTCTTGGTGAATGTTGGCAAAGGAGGGCGAATAGCAAAGGAGGGCAAATGTTGTCACCTTTAAGTTATGTAAAATTAATGTCTTTAAGAAGTCTACTCGAGACAATGAGAAGTCTACTTCAGAAGTCTACTCAAGATAAGAGAAGTCTACTCGGTTGACAAGTTATATGATATAAATGAGAGAAATGTCCCTCTGAATCACTTTTAAGTTATGTAAAATTAATGTATTTTAGAAGTCTACTCGAGACAGGAGAAGTCTACTCGAGACAAGAGAAGTCTACTCGGTTGACAAGTTATATGATATAAATGGGAGAAATGTCTCTCTGAATCACTTATAAGTTATGTAAAATTAATGTCTTTAAGAAGTCTACTCGAGACAGGAGGAGTCTATTTTGTAAAATAGATAAACATAGATAATTTCGAAATTTGATACAAAACATTCAATGCAATTCAACATCACATAGAAAATAACCCTCTAAACAAACAAACATTTAAGGATCACTAATTATAAATCTTAAAACTGGCATAAGAAATTGCTAGTAAACTAAAATCTCTGAAAATTATGTATGCAACTGAAGTCTGCTTGAGAAGTCTGCTCGAGATCGAGAAGTCTACTCGAGAAGTCTGCTCGAGATCGAGAAGTCTACTCGAGAAGTCCACATTCAGATCTGCAAAAAAATCAACAAAATTCAGCTCTGCAACAATAACAAAAAATTTAGATTTAGAACATAATCTATAAAATTTATACAACAATAAACTCAGATCTACAAATATAAACTAATAAGCTCGGATCTATAATAATAATCTACTATATTTATAACATTCAGATCTGTACAAAAATCCACAAAATTCAGCTCTACAATAATAACAAAAAATTAACAAAATCTACAAAATTTATACAACAATAAACTCAGATCTACAAAATAAACTTAGATCTACAACAATAAGCTCAAATCTATAATAATAAGCTCAGATTTGCAATATGAACACAAAGCAAACAAAAAGAGGAACACAAAAGCTCAGATTTGCTTACCACTACCATAACCTGCAAGTGAGAGGAGGTTGAATGCAAGATAGAGAGGATGGAGAGGATATTGATAGCAAGAGAGGAAGGAGAAGAAATTCATGGCCAGAGAGAAGGGAGATGAGAGAGAAGCGTTTTTTAGATAGAGAGAGACTTTATTGTTAACACAATTAGGTTAAACTCTCCTTATATATGTTGAAAAAAATTCATGTAAGTAGACTTCTCCAAGAAACTGAGAAGTCTACTCGAGAAGTCTCTTAGTATTGATTTTTATCATAATTTATCTATGATGATTTAAATTGATTATTTTCTGTCAAATTTTATTTTTAATAGGTGTAAAAAAGTATATATTTGTTGTTATGTATCTTATTTTTTTTTATCAAATTATCTTTTATGATTTTTAAAATCAATTGTAAACATATTATTAAAGAGTAGACTTCTTGGAGAAGTCTACTCGAGAAGTCTACTTAACTTCTCGAGTAGACTTCTCTGGGATAAAATAGTAATTGAGGTTGGCGTTTTTTTGTTTGGTCATAAGGGTTAAAGTTGTAATTTCTCTACCTATGTGAGTTATTTTTGTCAAACATGCAATAAGAAGTCTAGTTTTACATTTTAACTCAAGTTTTGAGTCATATTCAGCAATTCCCCCATAATTATGCATATACAAAAAAACTTTTTATTGAAGTAGATTTATATATTTTTTTTAATCGACATATTATCTTTTAACACATGATAAAATCTAATTAATTTTTTTACACGTGATAATATCTAATCAAATGATTGATGCATGTTGCAATTACGTTAATTACAAAATTAGAGATAACAAGCAATAAGATCCAAATATATATGTTTTTCTATTCTTTTTTCCAATTATTAAAGTTTTCATAACTAAATTTACTTTTTATTATTTAAATATCAATATATCTAGTTTTTTGTTAAAGATAAATATATCTAGTTTTTCAAGAAAGATTTTCTAATTAATTATCATATTTTTATAATTAAATTAGATTTACTTATTTATCACGCATGCATCTAATTTAAGTATTAACATATCAAGTATGCCATGCACTTACTTATTTATAACGTGCATGAGAAGGTCCTTGATGAATGCATAGCTTTCCAAAAACTTGTTATTCGATGGTATCGTTTTGTTTGCTACTCCAGAAATTCCCGAACTACAACAATAGATTCAAAGCAATTAGGTTTATATATCCACCAACACCGATATCAAAAAAGCAAGAAACTTTAGAGCAAGCTAGCTAGCTCTTATGGGTACCTTAAGAAGAAATTTGTAATGGGTAGGGCCGATATTATATTTGATGGCTCTCCATTCACGACACGATCGATATAAGGTTTAACGTCTTTGTAGGTGACTATTGGTAAGTTCTTCTTGAAGAGCTCTTTAGCAGAGCTTCCATGAAGAAAGTTTTGGAGATACTCTGTTTCTGAGTTAAGTGTGAGTATCTCTTTCAACAAATCGTCTTGTAATTGCTTCACATTCCATGTTAAGTCTTCAAGAACCTTTCTTTTTTCTTCCTCGTTGAAATTAGAAATTATACTCATATTTGGTTCTGTCTAGTTCACATGGAATGGTTTCTTTCTATAATATATGCAAAATTGCTTAGCAAAACCATGATTTAGTTTGGTTCATACTCCTTACAATAAAGTAAGACCTCCCCGAACACGTGTGAAGCAGAATTTGGATATATTTC